CTTCCTAAAACAGTTGGCTAGTGAGTTGAAAACTAAGTAAAAATGCCAATTTACAATCCAGCACACAAATGAAATTACTGGCTAGATGTAAAGGAAACAGAAGGATACCAATTTATAAGAAAATGCAGGTATTAAAAATAATTTGTCTATTTATAACTAAATTATTGCAATTGAAAGATTAGAAAAAACTTGTACATTTTTCAGTTCCATTACCTGTGTATTTGACATCAATGTGTGTAATCAGTTCAGTTTTCTATGGTATCTTGCCAGTTTCCTGCATGTGGCTGTGTTTTACCCAACAACAGGGAAGGACAAATAATTTGAATTTATTGCACATAAGACTTCTTAAAACCACAGCCTGGTCTTGAGACTGGACTGGTGAGTTACTCTTTCCCCATAGCATCAAAAACTTAGTATTTCATACCTTTCTGTACAGCCCTCCCAAATAAGCCCGGGAGCTGCTCTAGAGTTTCAGTCAAGATACTTCCACAATGCACCCAGATGGGATTAAGTACAAACCAGAGGCTTCCTCTCATAAGAAATCTTATAGCATTCATTCAAATGATCTATTCCCACAGAGATCAGAAGTCTTTCATCTGTAGAAACATTTTTTGTACCTCATTCTTGCTAAGATAGAGGGAAGAGTAAAAGAGTGAGTTAGGAGAGACCATAGAACTGTCAACCAAATTCAGACTTTGAAAACATCACATCTGGTAGGACCTGGTGAAATGTGCGGAGACTGCCAACTGGATGTTTTGCAGACCCCTTTGGAGACTACTGTTTTTGCTAAGTTGTAGTTTTGAGGTCTGAGACTTGACGCCGTTAGATTTCCAGCTCTCTGATAAGCTTTTATACTAGTAGATCAGAACCTCACAGGGAAGATCTCTTAGGATCCTCTGAGGTCCTTGCTTTCATCAGCACTGGAACGAAACAAGGAAGATGACTTCCTAAAGGGCTTGTCCTGTCCTGGTCATATGCATTGCCTCTGCAGTGATCCAGACAGTGCTATTGCTGTGTTCTTACAGGATGAGGTGGTTGATGGACACCCCCTCTTCTCCCCACCTGAAATGAGAGCAATGTTCTGGCTGAGGTAGCATAAAGTAAATTAAGTGAAATCTCTATGGATTGGGAGCCTGGAAGATTGATCTCCAGAAAAAAAAAAAAAGTGCAGGAAGGGCAAATACCAGCCAATGCAGTAAGCTCAATAACTGTTCTGGCTTACTAATGGCAATCAAAAAAACCCCAAAAAAACAGTTGGAGATGAAGTATAAAGATGCGTATTATTTCAAAGGAATGGTTCGTAAGGAGTTCCAGACCAGAAGTTCAGGTTTCAGTTAACAGAAGCCCTAATATGATGGTATTTAGAATCTGGTATTAAAATGAAGAAGTTCTAGATCAGAAATAGCCAATGTTTTTGTCAGGAGTGCTACAAAATAAGCCCTGTGAGCTCCCCGGTTGCCACTCCAATGCCCTTCCTCTGCCTGATCCACTACTCTGCTTTCTGCTTCCCTATCTGCTGCTGTATTGCCTGTCCCTTCCCCAGACTGCAACGTACCACATACAGAGGCTGCCCAAGCCAACTGTGGGATCTGTGTCAGAGGTTTGTCACCCCTGTTCTAAATATTCATTTTTTCCAATCAACAACAATACCTAGGTAGTAGGTGACAATGAAGCTAGTCCTGGGAGCTGCCTTTGTGAGAAGGGGGGTCCTGGGTGGGGTGATGGGTGCAAAAATAGTCACTACCACAGCTGGGGCTAATCACAGTGCTGCAATTGATAGCACAACAGCTGGTGCTGCCCCAAGCATTGCACAGCTGCCCAGGATGCAGAGTCACCTGGCTATGCTTCTGAATACCTACTACACATTGCAAATCCTAGAGCTGCTTAAAATGATTGAGTCTGTAATCTCATGTACTGAAATTCTCTGTTAGACCAACCACTTTTCCCACTATAAAATGATTTTTTACCTAGTTTTCCTGTTGTAAACACTTCAATACTGTTAGTGGGGGGAGGGGAAAGCTAAACTAAAACAAACAATAAGCACTTATGCATGTGTCTCTATTCCACCTGAAGTCCACTGAAGACACACTGGACCAGAGTCTCTGATGATGATAGCTGGCATAGTTAAACTGAAGTCATTTGGGGTAGTCACTTTATGCTAGCTGAAAAATCTACCTCAATCTCAGGTTTTCTATACGTATGGCTTTTGCTTTCACTTTATGTGTAGCTTACATATCAATAATGTATACTTGAGGTAATTTCACACAGATTCCATGAATTCTGCCTAATCCCCTGTGACCATTCAAGCTGTTTGAGAGGTTGTGGTCAACCTGTCATGTACAACGTTGCTCTATCTTCAGGAAGATGAATTTGCAAATTCATTCTTAACGTCTCTATGAATTTTTGGAGAAGTAGAGTCAAAAGATCAGTTAACTTAAGAGTAAAGAGTATAGCCATTAATGGTGACACAGTTAAAGGACCCTTCCTTTCAGTACAGAGTTTTATTAGGAATTTCTATAGTTCATGGATACCTGTCAATTCTACAAAGAAACAATTTTGAACACTGAGGACCTAAAAAGGCAATTTTATTCTTCATATTACTCCTGCTTTAAGATTTTTTTCTGCAAGAAAAGAAATGCAAGGAAAGTTATTTCCTTAGCAGTTAAACAGAGACTAATTCAACACTTCTTAGTAGTACTGGTTTTAACATGCATATACTAAATGTATTCTGGTCTTCGATCACCTACTGCTACCAAATATTTAAGTGGGAATTCAAAATAAAAGGCATCATGTAAAAAATATTCTACCTGCATAAGCTTTCATTTAAAATAACTTTTAAGATATACTTAGTAGTAATTTACTTATTAGTATATAACACCTTTATTATAATGAAGAATAAAAACAAGTTGCCATTGATTTTGGGAAGATAGTTATTCAAGGGCTTGAAGACCATTCACATGAAAAATGTGTTGCTAATACCTTTAAATGTTTAATTCTATAGAACTAAAGGCTTGTCTACACATAGACTTATTGTCAGTTACTGTTACCAGTTAGTTGCTTCCAAATAACTCCTTGCATGGACACTTTTATTCTACAGTAAGAATGCCAGATTCCTACTTAACCACCCACTTTGGAAATACACTGAGGCACTCTGGGTATTGTATATATCACAATGTAATATTGTGTTACGGTACCCCAGCTAGTTCAGGCACTGAAAGCAACAGAACTATGTTAGTGCAGTATTCCACCTGGGCTAATATGCTATACTACTCCTATTATCTGAAAAAGCTCAAGCAGAGCCAACTAGGGAATCCATACTACATTGTCTGGTGTAGACATACCCCCCAGTTCTGGAACAAGAATCCACACATGGAATTATTCATGGGACAGCTACTGTGCTTTGAATTTACATCCTACTATAACTGGCATTAACTGAGGGAAGATATGGCTCTAACGGTATTTCTAGTTGCTTAATATTAATATCTTTCTAAACAGATTCACCAGTGGTAAGTCTAGGTAATTATAATTTACCCCATAAACCCCGTCCTTATTCTGAGCCATTCATATCAACTTACATCCATTTTTGCCTTTAGTAGTTTGCTACACCCTGGTGCGGTTTTGTCAAAAATGTTACTCAACCATTTGACTTTCACCAGACAGTTACAAAGAGAAAGTTGTATTCACCTAACACTTGTCCAAAAAGTGATAAACTAATATTTATTGGTTTCTTCTCCCTTTTTGTCCCTGCACACTGTTTAAATCTTCCAGAGTAAGACACTATCTCTTAGCTGCTCCTAAAGGTTTTGCACAATATACATACCCCAGAAATTCTGAAAGCAAGAAGACTGCTGAAAGATGGTTGGGATTATAAGGAAGTTAACTGTATCCATTTAAACATATTACAATTCTTTAATGCAAGAAGGCAGGGTATTGATTTTAAATTTATTTTTAAGTGAATTTAATGCTTGCTAAAGGTGCTGGACTGATGGGCTCAAGAGACTGAAGTCCTTTATCTACAATACAAAAAGCACTACAAGATTCACTACTATATCCTCAAGGGACTGGTCCTAAAAAGGCTGAGCCTTTTAAGATGGTGTCTACTAGTACACTACATACACGTTAAGAAACCCCGAACAGCAGCATGGTATAAGTGATGTGATTATTTAAGGTAAAAACCTCAGGAACAGTAAGGCAACTGAGAGAGTTAATATTGTAGAACAATGCAATCCATTCAGATATTAAGATAATCAAAGCTACGTATTTGGAAAGTGTGCAGAAGTAGTCCAAAACAGCAGAGATGACTGGGTACGTTGCACCATTGCACAGGGTTTAGATAAAGAAATTTCTTCACAATATGAGATAAACTGAAATGAACCAGTCAGTGTTTGGGTTACATAAGCCTTCGCACTCTTCTGATCTTTCTAGTTAACAGAAAATTGCCATGATTATATCAAGGGAATCTGAAGAAAGGAATTTCATAGGTTCAAGGTTTTGACAGTTTTTAAAACTAAGAAATCTGTTAACTGACATTAAGCAAGCATCCTTTTTAGCAATCTCAGTAATACTACCATACAAAAAACCTTTCCACACAACGGTAAATACCACAAATCTGCACATGGACTCTATGATGGCACAATGCAGTGTCGTTTAATTGAGTTAACCTTATAAGCATAGCAGTGCCCAATGCATACAACAGCAACATATTCAGTTCTTCCCTACAATCTCATGAAAATTCAGAAAAAATGGATGTGCAATTCCTAGGCTCAGCATTTATGTATCATTAGGTAAAAGATTTAATCAATACAAATAGTGATTCCTTACACTTTACCAAAAAAGAACATTCTAGTTTTTCTGAACTTAGTCATATTTATAATACTAGGTTAAAGGAATGTTTTAATGAAGCTGTAATAGTTGATCATAATCAGCAAGAACTGCTGTGCTTACAAAATACTAGGATAAAAGATTTAAGTGAGCAAAGATGGCAGTATTTTATCACTTACCTCCTGCTTCAGTTCTGCTATCTGATCTTTCAGTTCTCTAATATACTGGTTAGAGTCAGATTTATTAAGCTGCCCTTGAATTTTTCCTTCTTCTTTCTGTTTTTATTAAGAGCAAAAGAAACCATATTAATAATCTTTATGGTTATATGTAGTCTTATTTTAAGAGACTGAATGATTCAAGCATATAGGATACAGAACTTTTCACTCCTAGCCACTTGTTTAAATCTGACTTAGGCTGGCCAGAACCAAAAGCTGTTATCTGTAAAGATAGTACAGTGCCTTGTGTAACTTTTTAGTTGTCAGTTTCTAGTGAACAGCAACCATCTACATTCACATAGCCATTATCTTGCTTTCTGTGTCCAACTGAGAAAAATGTAACTTTCCTTTTATTTTGGGATATATGTCAGGGAATAATCACACTTGCCAAACATTAAGTCCCTTTAACTGAATTTTCTATGGAATTCCTAGTTTAAGTATCACCCTAAACGTGACGCATAGAGGAATTGGAGGTGAGGCACTGAAGTGTGTATGACAGAGTTGGTCTGTCTGTACCTTCCATGTCACCAGGGCTGGGCCACAATTTTTTGGAGCCCCCTGTGAGATATAGTTTTGGGTCCCCCTGGTGGTGGGGGGAGAGGGGGGAGTGAGCAGCTGGATGTGAAGCTGGCAGCGGCATCAACAGCAAGGGGAAAGCAGGGGGCAGGGTGAGTGGCCGGATGTGAAGCTGGCAGTGGTGTCGACAGCTGGGGGGGGAGGGGGGGAAGGTGGCAGCAAGTGGCCAAAGAAGCCAGTGGTGGCATTGGCAGTGGGGGATGGTGAGTAGGTGGATGTGAAGCTGGCGGTGGTGGTGACAGTGGTGGGGGTGGCGAGTGACTGCACACGAAGCCGGTGGCAGTGGCAACGCAGAGTGCATTGGCTACAGGGCCCCCTGCAGCTGTAAGTTCCTCAGCATGGAATGGGCCAGCCTTGCCTGTCACAAACACAGCGGTGCCTGCAACTGCTGGGGTTAGAGAGGAGCCTGGAACTAGTCTTATTTTCCTTCTTTGCATCCAGTAAAGCAAGCTGATGCTTATATATCTCTGATGTAGTTAGTCCATAAGGTGCAAAATCTACCCTGGCCCTCTGACAAGCTTTGTTTCACCACTGGCAGCCACAGTTCCCAAGTACAGAAGAGATTTTAGCTGTACAGGTTTGAGAGCTTGTAGTGCTAGAACCTTATCAATTAAGATACCCACAGTTCTGCACCCTACTGAACCAAAGCTTGTGATAGATCTCTCCCCTTATAATTTGATAGGCATAGTACATGGGACTGGCCTCTTCCCCATGGTTTTCTGTTCCATTGAAAACAATAGTAAGCAGTGACTAATATTCCAGTAATGGTGGAGTGCCCCTAGCAGCAAAATAACATCCATCTTTGGCATCAGCACCTTCCATCTCTTTGTGTATTATAGAAAATGTCTGTCTGAACAGGTAGAAACTGAATATAATGGATAAGATTGGATTTTCTACCCACTACTAAACTTTGATGAATTACAGCTCTGCCTCCAACCTCTTTACATACATGAAAATTTAAGGAATAAAATCAGTCACTTGTCAGAAAAAGGTTTCCAAAAAAAGATTAGAGACTGAATATCTTGCAGGTTCCATTTTTAAATAATTGTAACTTTAACAAATTAAATTAAAATTCTCAGAAAAATGTGTTCTTTACACACAAATGAGTAGCTATAAACAATGGTGTAATTTAAAGCATGGCATTTAAAAAAAAAAAAAAAAAAAAAAATCAGAGTATCAACCCAATTTAAAACTCAGTAATTTGTGCCCTAGAGCTTTTGAATAAAATTGGTAATGGATGAACTGTATAACAAATACAGTTTTAAATGACACAAGTGTTACTGGTTTGATTTATTAAGTATATTAAGATGCAGTGTTAATTCCTATAAAAGCAGAGGTTATTTGATTATCAATCATTTTGTCACAGTAAAGATGTTCAGGGTACTTTAACTTGCCTTTTTAATGTTATAGATAAATATGAAGTTTAAGCATTAAATTTGTAATGGTTATTTACAATCTACATTTCTGCAAACAATTAGAAAACTAAAGTATAAAACATTTTTGATAATTTAGGACTATAATGAGAAGAAAGTAAAAATCAAAAGCTGATTTAAATGCAGAAAAGTATAAATACATGAATTAATCTATTTTAAAATAATTTCTCTCCATTTTGTTTGCACAGTTTCACAGCAGACTTAGGTTGCAACTCACATCATTTAATTCCCTTTAAAGTGGCGCTGCTCAATTAGGGAGTGAAGAGAAAGAGAAGTTTTAGCTATTCTTCAAAAAAACAAAAAGTGAAAAGTATTTATAGGGTTTGTTTGTTTTTTTTATAGAGATACCTATGAAATATTAAATTTATAACATCACAGATACCAGAAAATTGAGGGCAAGATCAGCAGGCTGTGCTCATGCTAGTGAGCTTTCAAATTTAGTGGCATTCATAACAGAAGGAGCCTCCAAGATACTTTGCATCTTAGATCTTATCAGGCAGAAGGGCCAGAAGGCCGAGCAGGATGACACCTAGCGATCCTGTGCAGATTGACTGCCGGCTATTTCATTCAGCTGAGCGCACAGCCATCCAATGAGTTGAGAGATAGTTAGCCAAGTTAGTATGAAGTCAAGCAGAAGGCAAGGTCAACTTACGTTGCCTTCAGCCTGACTTCAGACTAAAATGGCTCTCTCTCTCTCGCTCTCTAGATCCTACCAGTTGTCAATATTTTAGAGGCAATTTCTGAACTCTGTAAAATTATATATCTTTTACCATCATGCTCTTGGTTACTCTACATCTGATATTTAAATCCAACAGTAATTAAACAGCTCTGCAGCCAGAATTATACAGTCAATTCCCTCCTTTATCCTCAGCATTTATTTGTCCAGCCTATTTTAAAAGCAAACAAAACTCAAAATTTGACTGCCCCCTCTATGGAAGTCTTCCTACCATTTTTAAGATAAATAATAAGCAGAAACTGCTCAATTTTACGCCCTTTCTTGGAGAGCAAGAGCACCAGAAAAGTGGAAAAAATAAAAACCTAGACTGCACTCTGGAAGCGAGGCAGCTCAGGTCTCTACATAAAATATTATCATCTCACTTTATCAGGAATCATCTATTAGCTCAGGCCATCTTATGTTAGAGCAACTCCTTGCAATAACAGAAATATGAATGAGTATCACTGTACTAGTCTTCCCCATCTTCAGTTCTTAAGCCAGTTTGGCATTTCTATTAAATTTGTTTTTCTTAAATACCATGCAAGTTATATGATCCATAAACCATGCTATTATACAGCAACATTAAACTGAGGGAGGGCTCTCCTATGAATAATGGATATGGGTGCCTTTTAGTATAGTCAACAGATCATTGAGTAACAATTTTTTACTGCTTTTCACACTTTGTAATGGTACAGTTAGCAGCTGTGACAAAATGAGCTGGATTTTATTTGTTTGTGAGCAGTAGAATTATTTACCTTATTCCTAATCAGTTACTTAGATCTCACTAAACACATAATTAATTAGGGTCTAAGAATGCTCACTACAGGTGATAATACAAGGGAAGGAATGGTTCCAGCTTGTCTTTCAGATTTTACAGAATGTGGAGACCTGCTAATTAGGACAGCATTTCTCATAGTACTATGCATATTGAACATGGAGGTAATTGATACAAAGGGGAAAGCCCACAATATTTTCTACAGAGTCACTTTACAAAGGATCATTCTGTAACTTCCTCTTGCAACACAAAACACAGCAAGTCAGATGTCAGTATACTTCGCTTGTTGCAAAAAGCATTGGATAATTCTAGTTTCAGTTACTTATGGCCTTGTGTTTTATTACAAGCTACTACAAATACAAATGGTTGAATTGTAAGGCTATAGTAAGGTATAAAATAACATTTTAGGACAAGGTATAGAAGTCTTCATGACTGCAGGTATTTTTTTTCCTAAATAATATCAAGAAAAAATATTTTATTGGGGCTCTCTCCCTAGGTACAAATCATTAAAAATACACCTTTATATTTAAACATTTAGAAACTGGTTTATCAATGTTAGATAGATAATCTACCCAATCATCTTATGTATTTAGAGCCATTTTATGCAGATAGTTCCCTTTCACAACTTCCTCCTGCCTGGCAGGCTGTGAGGCTGGGCTGCAGCAACCATGAGGACTACTGGCCCCCACTGGGGTGCCAGCATTTTATTTTTAGCATGGGGTTTTTTAATTTTATTTTGCAGACTTCTCAGACAATGCCCAATTTTGTGTTTTCTGTGAAACCGCAAACTAAGTAGGTCCCTAAACATGACTAATGAGCTTGTGATGGGCCTTTATTTCCTGGGGAAGTTCATTCCAGTCTCAGATGAGCCCCCCCAAAAAGTTGAGTCTCCCACAGAGATGTGTTTTATCCTTAGTATGGTATAGAGATTTCCATGGCGCCAGAAGAAAATACCAAAAGTTGTATACCATGGTCTTCATCCTGGAACGTTAGGTGATGCAGACCTAGAACATGGAGTAGTTTGAGACCCTAAACTTGATTTGAAATTCCACAGGAATCCTAAAATTGGAAATAGATTTGATGCATTTGTGGCAGTCTGTGATAAGGTGACAAACTACAAAATTCTGTACTAGCTGCTGTTCAGGTGCTGAGACTGTCATTGCCAGATAGCACGTTTCTGTAGTCAAGGGGTTATGAATAACCAAGGCTAGGTCTTCAAGCCATAGAATGGAAAGGAATTTCTTGTAGCTAACCTGAGATGAGAGACACTACATCACTCACAAATGCTACTACATGAAAGCTTTACATCAGTGAGGAACCAGGAGTTTGCATTACAACTTCAAACCTTTCAAAATGCTTTCCTCTCCAGTGTTGTCATGCAGAGAAAGGGTTGTGGCAGCTGGGTACCTGCCTCTGACACAAACTGGGTCACTGTGACCTGTAGGTTGTGGAGTGTGTTGTCTTAAACACCTCTAATATGTTAATTAATTCCAACAGGAAAGGCACCAAACCATTCCCAAATTTGATTTTTTTCAGTGACAATTTAAGAATGGTGCATCTT